CACACACACACATATATGTATATATGTAAATATACATATTACAGGTTTTTCTCCACCTCATGTTATGTCCGAGGTGACGAGGAGGCGCGAGCAATCCGCCACAGGCTACGGTTGCGGCTGGGAGCCCTGACGTCCAAGAAGCTCGTGTCCGGAAAATCCCTACATGATGCTTGCCGCTCGGCGAGGTTTTTTGGAGAGTAAGGGACCTAGCTATGGGTCCCAAATCCTTTGACCCTTCTGGGAAGGACCCCTTAAATATTAAAAGGGAGAGTCTTTGAAGCGCAGGTAGCTCGCTGGGCCTGACGCGGTACACCATCGAGGACATGAACGAGCTTGTGAACCTCTTGGCGGATTTCATCGAGCTCACCTTTGAGGCACCGAAAAAACTCAAGAGCACCGACACAGGTGAAGGAGACCCAAGCCATAGTTTTTGTACCCGAAAGCCCAAGACCCTGGCTTGAAGGCAACGGAAGCGAAAATGCCGACAGGTCGGCGAGTGAGCAACTCTCCGCAGTTGGTCTCGTCCTGCCATCCTCCGCCCTTCCCAAGCACCGACATAGTATGGTGCAACACGCGTTTGGCAAGGGCATAGTGCCGGTGTACGATATTCCGCATAGTAGTACGATTGGGGCATCGCCTGGCAACGCGCTGCACTGTCATTTCACAAGTTATGCTACATTCCCCTACAAAGCCCAGGCGAGTCCTCCACCGGCATGTTCGGGTTCAGACTGAGCGATGTGAACAATCTCGGCAAACCAGCAACTGGGCATTGAGGCTTCAGGCTCAGGGTCTAGCGAAGGGTTTTCGGGTTTGGTGCCAGTCACTCCGCGGTAGCTGGCAAGTTCGAGTTGCTCTCTTCAGGTTGTTACGGTTCCTTGTGACAGCAGCAGCCGCCGCGGCACTGCCCCCCTCACCCCCGCCACCCACTCGACCAATCAAGCACGGTCTAAGTCCCCGACCCTTTCTCTGTATAACCAGAATAGCCACCACCACCATCAGCCTAGCACCAACACCAGCTGTAGCACCGGCACCCGCGCAACTGTTGGTGTTTACTGTGGGAGCCGGTGGCGGCGCGAACCTTCAACTCGCCGGTTTTCCTGCCAAAGGTCTGGCAATGGCCTCACATGGACGCATCGGGGCGTGAGTCTTTTCATCGCAGTGCACCGTGGCTGAGCTTGAGTTTCTTGGGTTTGGGCCTCGCGTGTCGCGGGTCTTCATGACATGCAGTTGTCGGAGTGTGAACATGGGAGGTGGAGTTGAGGGCAAGTCCCCAGCTCCGCACAAACATACTTGTTCTGAGCTGCTGTGTTTGTCATGTCATCGTTCCCAGGCTCCTCGATGAGGCTTGAGTCCAGGCTTTATCGCACCGTACAAGCTGAGAG